TAGTAATAAATTATATTCACGCAATATACATATAATCAAATCTCATAATGTTAACTTGAAGTTAGAAGAATAAACATTTTTCTTTTGGGGCGAAATAAATTATTATTTTATAAATTCAATTAGCTAGATTCATAATTTTTCCTATTTTTTAACTATATATTTTTTTCAAAATAATCACCTTTTACAAAATTTATTTTCAAAAAATATAAATAAACATGCCTCTAGAAATGAATATTATGAATATATACATACAATTCAAATTTGACAACTTTTAACTAATGAGAATTGTCACACAATACTATATGCATTTTACTTTAAAAAATTAATAATTGACTTTTTTTTTTTTTAACATTTAAAGTCTTCATGAAGATAAGCACGCTCGAAGTCTCCGTGTCAACTGTAATAAATTAACTATAGAGGAAGTACGTATCACCAAAAAGATTTGTATAGAAAAAGCCAAGCTTAGAAGTCAAATTTTGTTGCACACTTCTAACTATGTCAACAAGTCGAGCCTGAGCAAAAAAAAAAAAGTTCGGGCTCAGCTCGAACATTTTTAGATCGAGCTTTTTTGGGCCCGAGCAGAGCCGAGCAAAGTTTGGCCAAAAAAAATGAGGCTCGGCCCGAGCTTTCGATCCGAGCCGAGTTCGGACCGAGCTGTTTGAGCTTTTTTTTTTTTTTTAAATGTCAAATTTACTTTAAAAATTTAAATTTTGTACGGTTTATACGTACTATAAATTAAATAAAAAAGCTCGGGCTCGACTCGAGCTTTTTTGGACCGAGTTTTTTTGGACCCGAGTCGAGCAAAGCCTGTCCAAAAAAAGGAGGCTCGGCCCGAAGCTTGGCTCGGTGTAACCAAGCCCGAGCCGGGCCCGACTCGAACTTTTTCCAAGCCGAGCCCAAGCTGTCCGAGTCGACAAGTTTTTTTGACATTCCTACACACTTCTATTGCCCCACTAAAGGAAAGAGGTTTCTGGGTACAATGGAAAATAAATAGGATTACCAAATAAATATTAATATTTTGAAGAAATTATTATTAATATAAAATCAATTACATAAATTTTCTTTTATATGTCTCTCTTCTACAAAATTTCATGTTTATTTTATTTCACTTTTCTGTTTTCATACCGAATCTAATTTTATCATTTCGAAAACGCCAAAGAAAAAAAGACATATAACAATAATTCCACATTTAGAAAAAATGGTAATTAATCTAAAAGCAAAACGGACAATCGCGTGG